TCTCGACAATATGCGTTTTTGCTGGCTGTAGCGCTGCACAGCAAAAACGCATAAAAACGCATATTGGCAGGAAGCTGTGCGTTTGTGTCATGTCCGTGCTTCCGCGTTTTTTGTCGCACACTCTCAACTCGGGAACCAGCAAAACTAGAAAGCCGAAACTTCGGCAGTATGTGCCCATCACCTGTGCGGCCCTCCCGTTTTAACATTATCTGCGTGCGCCTGGTATCACAAACGAACACCTTAAAAAATATGCACTTTTTTGGCGGGAAAGCGATTCCGGAAACCAGACAAGACAGGGAGGTGAAACTTCGCAGGGGTATTATCTGTGCATATGTGGGTTAAAAATTTCAAACTCAGCTCCTAGGTGTGCGTGTTTCTCGTATAGGGGCACGTGGAACTTTTGACGGGAAAATTGCTAACTCAGCAATTGGAAAAGCTGGGAAACCGGAATTCTAGAGAAATGTTCCCAGTCTAAGTAGAGTTTAAAGATTTCAAATTCAACCCACAGACACACGTGGTACTCACGTATGGGCACTTAAAGATTTTGGCGGAAAAATTGCTCACTGAACAGTTGGGCCATTTTCAAAGAAGGACCGTTGAACGGAAATTCTTAATTTCCTTTGTGCTAAATTTACAATGATTTACGCCAGTGAATGCACAAGGTAAATGCAAAGCAACAACTATTCATGAAGTCAACCACCTGATTACTTCAAGTCAGATGCAAAACGCATGACCGCACCGGCAAGCCTAGTGCATTCCAGTTTGGGTTTCTCTAAGGTTTGGGTTTAAAACACAACGTCCACCAGTTACTAACAAAGCCACACGCCAGGCCTAGAAGCCTCTACAGCATGCCATACACCGCACATTTAGTTAAGCATCCTTTTGCATAGGAGGAGGTACTCCAGGCATTTCTCGCTGCATCTCAGTTCATCGCTCTAGTAGTCGGCAGAACAGCTCACTCATTATGCGTTTTTGCATATATGCAAATGCGAAAACGCATATTGTGACGACCCATGATGTGTGTGCGCGCGTCTGTCCGGGCATTTCAACTCGGCACCCAAGCAACCTCCGGAGCCAAAATTTTGCCTACGGGTTCCCCGGCAAGTGCCACCCCAGGACCGCGGCACCAACTCCCACACAGGTCTGGGCTTCGCGTACGAGAAAGTGAAAGTTATAGCGGGAAAATTGGTGACTCGGGAACCAGAAAAGCCAGAAAGCTGAAACTCTGCAGTTTGTTCCTCGCTCACGTAGAACACAAAGGTTTCAAATCCAATCTCCAGGCATGCGTCGTTCTCACGTACGGCCCTGTGAAGGTTCCTGGCGGGAAAATCGCTAACTCGGGAACCAGGAAAGCTGGGAGGCTGAAATTTTCAGGAAATGTTCCCAGCACATGTACAACATAAATTGATCGAATTCAGCCCCTCGGTATGCGCGGTTCTCAAGTATGGCCCCATGGAAATTCTTAGCCGGAAAATGGCTAAGTCGGGAACCAGAAAAGCTGGAAGGCTAAAATTTTCAGGAAATGTTTCCTGTCCAAGTACTGCGTAATAATTAACTTCCGGAGCTTCGAGCACCAGTATTTCACACATTCTAGCTAGTGGGTTTCCGAGCGACCTCATTACAGCACAAAATACTGCAAAAACGCATGATCGCATGGGCCCGCCCGTGCGTGTCGCCAATGACTTTTATGCAGTTTTTGCATCTATGCAGTGCAAAATCTGTTTGTGTGTGTGTATGTATGTATGTATGTATGTACGTCTGTTTATGCGTATGTATCGATCTTTCATCTCGAAACTCACGAAAGCTACAAGGCTGAAACTCTGGTAACTTAATCTACAGATACGTACGCACCCCTATCCTCGAAACGGACGCTCACGTCCATGTAATTCTCACTTACGGGCACGCGAAATTTTTTTTGACGGGAGCAGCGCAAACTATAAGGCTGAAACTTCACAGAGATGTTCCTAGGTCATGTCTAATCAAAAGATTTCAAACTCAGCCTTTAGGCACCCAGTTTGTGTGTGTGTGTGTCTCACGTACGCATAAGTTAAAGTTTAAACTGGCATCGTGCCAACTCCAGATTTAAGCTGACCAAAAATTTATAGAGCGCTGCAGCTCTGCAGCGTTACTTGTCGCCGACTGATGTGTCCGTGAAAGTAAATTGAGCTTTCCAGTCCTTCGGCATCTCACGTACGGACATGTGAAAATCTAACGCAAGCGCTTTTGTAACTTCAGAATTGAAGCAGATGGAGTACTGGAACATTCTGAGCATAACCGACGGTGATCTTTGACCAGGGTAGACATAAAAATGAATTTCATGTCCCTTTCATGTCTTACGTACGTCTCGCGTAAACACACGCACGAACACGTGAAATTTGACATAATTCCGCAACCAGAGCAGCTGGAGTACTGAAATCTTCCGCGTGTGGTTCAGGGCCGTGTCTGATCAAGCGCACGCGAAGGCGGCATTCACGTTGCCACTCACGTACGAACACGTGAAATTTGACGTAACTCCGCAGCCGAAGTATCTAGAGAGCTGAATTCTTTTGAGCATGGACTGGGGTCATTGTAATAATTTCTTACAGCCGTGATGGCTACTCTCGATTCTTTTAGCTAAAGGCATCCCAAACTTAATCTACCATGAACATACTGGCCTTCATCCTCCTAATGGGCGCTCTTACTCAAGTGGTTCCCGCGTATAGGCCCGTGAAAACTTCTTGCGGGTGTATTGCTAACGCAGGAACCTGAGAAGCTAGAAGGCTGTAATTTTAGTGGGATGTTCCCCGTCCATGTAGGTCTTAAAGATTTCAAACCCGGCCTCCAAGTATGCATGGTTCCCACGTACGCGCCTGTGAAGGTTTTTTTGCGGGTAAGTTGCCAACTCAGGAATCTGAAAAGCTAGAAGACTGGAATTTTTAGAGAATTTCCCCGGTCCTAGTGATTTCAAGCTCTGCCTATAGTAATGCGTGGTTCTCACGTACGGGCCGGTGGAAATTTTTGGTGGATAAGTTGCAAACTCGGAAACCAGGAAAGCTAGGAAGCTGAAAATTTAAGGGGACGTTTTCAGACAGCCCTGAAAGTCAGTCTCAATTCTCTGAGCTAGAAGATCTGCCGGAAAAACAGTGCCGTTAGCAACAAGAACCTGCGGAGAACTATGCAAAAAACGCATCTTCGCACAGGCAGTCGGTAACGAGAAAAAGAAAGAGAAATAAAAAATTATTTCTTCGGTTTTGATGGTCTTTGTGCTCTTTTTTCCCGTCAGAATTGTCGGATTCTTCTCTGCCACGCGGTTTTGTTATGCGTTTTGTGCTGTGTAACAGCAGTACAAAACGGATATTGTCACGGGGTTATCTGTGTGTTTGTGTGTGTGG